ACTTTGGTCATGTGTAAAAGTTTCTCCATGACTCTTATCAGCCCATCTCACTCTACACCCTCATTCTCAGACAACCAATGATTTATTTTCTGTCACTATAAATTTGTTTGCAAATTCTCAGTTTTATATAAATAGAGTCATATAAGAGGTACACCTTTTTCATGCTAACACTAACCAAAGGTAAACCAACAAGGCAGAGAGTGGAACAAGAAAGAATTCAGGAAAAGAGTGGGGCATTTCATCATCCTAAGAGATGGAGCCATTAAGAGAACAAAATAATCATAAAAGTGTGCAGGAAACTAATAATATTTTCAAAATATAGGAAACGACAATTGACCAATCTAAATTGAGAAAGAAACGAATACACAATTATAGTTGGGAGATTTTAATATCTTTCTATATAATGGGTAAAACAAGAATACAGAAAACTGGTTAGGATACAGGAGGCTTGAATAATCAACTTTTTTTAATTGATACTTACACAACAACAGAAAACACAATAGCAGAATACAATTATTTTCAAGTGCTCCTGAAACTATATTCTGGGCCATAAAACAATCAATTTGAAATGGCTAAAATCATACAAAGTATGTTCTATGGCTACAATAAAATTAAATTAGAAATCATTAACAGAAAGATATGTGTAAAATCCCCAAATATTTGGGGGTGGGAGGAAAGACCTTCTAAATGACCTCTTGTCAAATTTGGTGTAGGATTTTTTTTTTTTTTTTTATAAATTTTATTGTTATATTCCCCATACAATTGCCGCCCCCCATTCTGACCCCAATCCCTCCCCTCCCGCCCCCGCCCCCTAAAAGTGTCTCTGGTTCATAGTTTTTTGTTGATTTTGATTTTCACTTTCTTATAGTTTTTCATTTTCCTGGTCCATTATTTAAGTTTTCTAGATTCCTGCTATGAGTGAGACCATCCGGTATTTTTCTTTTTCTTTTTGGCTTATTTCGCTGAGCATGATCCCTTCCAGCGCCATCCATGTTGCAGCAAATTGCATGTGTTTATCTTTTTGAATGCTGAGTAATATTCCATGGTATATATGTACCACATCTTCTTGATCCAGTCATCTATTTTTGGGCATTTGGGTTGTTTCCAAAGCTTAGCTATTGTAAACAGTGCTGCTATAAACATAGGGGTGCAGGTGTTCTTTGGAATTGATGTTTCTGTGTCCTTTGGGTAAATACCTAGGAGTGGAATTGCTGGGTCATATGGAAGCTCTATGTTTAGTAGGTCCAGAAATCTCCACACAGCTTTCCACAGTGGTTGGACCAGTTTGCACTCCCACCAACAGTGCAGAAGAGTTCCTTTTTCTCCACACCCTCGCCAACATTTGTTGTTGCTAGTTTTTTTAATATGTGCCATTCTCACTGGTGTAAGATGGTATCTCATGGTAGTTTTGATTTGCATTTCCCTGATGACAAGTGATGTTGAACATTTTTTCATATGCCTGTTGGCCATTTGCATTTCCTCTTCAGAGAAGTTTCTTTTAAGCTCTTCTGCCCATTTTTTGACTGGATTATTTTCTTTGTTGTTGTTGAGTCTCATCAGCTCTTTGCAGATTTTTGTGATCAGTCCTTTATCATTAGTGTTGGGTGCAAAAATGTTCTCCCAGTTGGTGGGGTTTCTCTTTGTTTTTGTTATTGTCTCTTTTGCTGTGCAAAAGCTCTTTAATTTGATATAGTCCCAGCTGTTTATCTTTGCCTTCACTATCACTGCTTTGGGTGATGTGTCTGTAAAGATGTCTTTGATGTGCAAATCACGTAGTGTTTCGCCTATATTTCCTTCTATATATTTTATGGTTTCAGGTCTTATGTCTAGTTCTTTAATCCATTTTGAGTTGATTTTTGTGTATGGTGTGAGGTGGTGGTCAAGCTTCATTCTTTTGCATGTAGCGACCCAGTTTTCCCAGCACCATTTATTGAACAAACTTTCTTTGCTCCAATGCATAGTCTTTGCTCCTTTGTCAAAGATTAGTTGACCATAAATCTGTGGGTTTATTTCTGGATTTTCTATTCGATTCCATTGGTCTGTATGTCTGTTCTTGTTCCAATTGGTGTAGGATTTTTTTAAAATGCACAATTTCATAAAGCACTCTTCTCTTTTTGAGCTGTATATCTGTGTGAGCTGAGATATTTTTCATATACTTCAAACAAACTATTAAATTACAACAAATTGAATGAATAAGCAGATATAAGAATCCAGCTGGTTAGGCCTGACTTTAAAGAGACTTACAAAAATGTAAGAAAACACAACACCACTTCTTTTGTAACACTGAAAAAATTTTGAATATAGTTATTTTCATTAAAATGATTATGTCCACACAGGGTTTTATTTTACACAAAAAGTATTTTTAAAATTTACCAGTTTTAATTTTTACTCACTATTTTTATGACAGATGTATAAAAACAATAATAAAACTTAGTTATTGAATGAATTATAGCAGTAAAAGTAAAATAACAACTTAGATTTAAAAAAAAACGTTATCTTCATGGGCTTGGTTGTTCACTGGCAGATTTGCCTACTCTGATCCAGAGGATGAATTGCCATAATGTGAGCTGACATAAAACTTATTCAACTAAAAAATACCAGATTTTATAAGTGTTTAACTAGAATTTCAGCATAGTCCCAAAAGGCTGCCTTTTAATATCAACACTTAATGAACAGGACACGTTGGCCCAAACAACACAATTGGGCTGAGACAACACAATTGATGGGGTCAGATTAGAGATTCATCCAAGGCAGAGCACAGATGGACCCACTTAGAGGTAGTTAATCCTACCTTCAGTCTCCTCAAAACTGAATGTATTTGAATCCTCTGTAGGCACACAATTCAGTAGTTAAAAGCTCTCAGTTGTATAATTTCAGAAAAGGTTCACTTAACTTCTTTGTGCCTCTTTTTCTTAAAATAGGGAATATTACTAAATCATAAGGGTTATTATGAGGACTATATATATATAAAGCACCTGGCAAACTATAAATATAAGTTCTTATTAAATATTACTATTATGCAAATTTTTACCTGAAATATGGATTAAAAAATTACTAGTCTAAGCTACACAGTGGGTGGGGTATGAGAAATATAACACTCTAAAAGTTAACTATAACATCTAAAACTTAGAGCATTAAAGATTGAAAAAGTGATCACAATGAAGAATGTAAGGGGTAAAAAAAGGACCCCAAAAGGATCACTTAAAATGAGTAAATTGGACCTCCCTCATGGCGCAGGCGGTTGAGCACCTCCCTATGAAGCTTTCCACAGCCTCTGCAGTGCGGGTTCGATCCCGGCTGGCCAGGGAGAAACCCACATGGTGCAGTAGACCATTCCTGTCTCGCCTGCTGCTCCTCTCAGCAGTGTATTTCGTCAGTCTGCCTGCTCTGTTTCCCGCTCTATCTCTGGTGGGTCCTCTCACCCTCCCACACATCTGGCCTGTACCCTGGAGTTCTTGTATAAATAAATAAATCTTTTTCTTAAAAAAAGCATTTTTTTAAAAAAAAATGAGTAAATAGTAGATTTGGTATGTTTTTTGGATTCAGAAACTCTTTACTGAATGTTTTCAAAACAGATGCATTTCTTTCATGGTTGTATGAATAAAAATATATCTTCAACTAACAATTACATGGGAAATGATTTTTCCTTTTTAATAAAAGCAAAATTTAAGTAAACATTTTAACATCTTAATTAAGGAAAGGTACAGAGGATTGACAGTGTACTATAATAACTACATAAACCTCAGCATCTATACCTTGACTCAAAGTTTTAAAAAAAAATATAGCCTGAATGGAAAACTGCTCAGGACTACCAAGGACTATCAGGGTACCTGAAACAAAACCGAGGGGGTAGTGGTGACTGGAGAGGACAGGAGCTTGGGGAGCACAACCTAGAGCAACAGTCAAATACACAAAGGACTAGGGGCAGGATGGAGGACTCTGGAGTCTTGACCTAGGCAGATCATCCAAATGACTTCATGGGAGGGTACTCTTTTTGTCAATGCCTAAGACACACACAGAACCAGAGGGGGTGTTGCAAAATCTCCCCACAAAATAAACTGCCAGTCTGCAAGCTCTGCAGTTATGTCAACACAAGCCCAAGAACTTCCACATATTTACTTCTTCAAACACTCCTCTACTTTCTATAGAGGGGCTTCTACAACCAAATGCCAAGAGCCCAACACTGCATCAGGCCATAGGTCTATGCTAAACCCTAAGCACAGGGAGAATGCAGCAGCAGCTTGGAATGCTTCCTGTAATCAGCTTTGTACCTCCATCTGCCTCACTGACAAAACAAGGAATTGTATGTAGGTCAGGATGAAATGAAGTTTTATATACAACCCATGCTCCTATATATTTCAAACCAGTACAGCTGCTGCTTAAAGGCAGAAGGAATGTGTAGGAAGTTTGGTGGGTAAGAAAATACACTTCTACCTTGAGTTATGCTGGAGTTACATCTACATAGTTGTGATACATCCATCGTAAAGTGAAAATATCCTAAGTAGGAAGTGTATTTAACACACCTAACCTACGGAACATCATAGCTCAGCCTCTTGGATCACTTACATTAGTTGAGCAAAATCACCTAACACAAAGTCTATTTTATAATGAAGTACTTATCTCATGCGATTCATTGAAAACCATACTAAACAAAACAGAACAGCTGTATGGGTTCCTACATAAACATACACACTTGAAAGCACACTGGATTTTCTACTGAATATGTATCACTTTTGCATCATCATAAAGTCAGAAATCCTAAATCAAACCATAGTTAAGCAGGGCATTGTCTATAGTGAGAAGCTGCTTATCTGTAAGCCAAGCATTATACCTCTCTTAAGCAAATTTTTTGGTTTGGTGGATAAAAATACTTAAGACTCACAGTGACTACTTAAGTAAAATAAGTAACCATTTAAGCAAGAAAAAAATGCCAGGGAGAGTTAAATTTGTAATCTTACAAACAAATTATTACACTGACTAAAACAAATGTATTGACTTACCTGGAAAATATCTGTCTTGTCTTCAAATAGACTGACACAATATTTGTAGTCGGCATAAGCCCAGAAATTGGAGTGATTGTAATCTCTAAGTGGTCCAGAAATACTAGACTGGTCACAGTTCCAGGTCAGAAACTCTTCAAGTGTAGCTTCTACATAACTACATGCATTTTCAAACTGAGGAACTATAATGGAAGAGAACTCAACTGTAAATGTATATTGGATATAATTTCCAAATACTGTTTTTTTAAATGAAGATAGTTTCAATTTAAAAAATGTTAACTATCATTTAACATAAAAAATTAATTTTGTATTTGCTGTATAAGTAGAACCATTTGCAACACTCACAATCTTCATGATTAAACATAAAAGTGAAAATCATGGTTTTAACCTTAAGATGAAAGACTTACCCTTAGTATCGTTTGACATAGTGACTCAGTGGAATACTGTAGATTATCAATTCTCTAAGACCTTGTCAGGAGTCTGTGAGTTCTAAACAATTTCCACAGTATTACTATGACAATTTTTGCCTTTTTCATTCTCATTCTCTTAAAAATGGGAGTTTTTGAGAGACAACATATGTACAGATATCAAAGCTGACAGCTATTAGAATGTGTGCTCATGTTCTTCTATTTCAAAATGTCTCAGTTTTCATTTCTAATATAGTAAATATCACTAGATATAATCCAATGGAAAAAAATTTCATTGGGATACTAAATTTTTAAGTGTAAATGGATCCTGAGACCAGAGTTTCAGCACCACTGCTACAGATTAAAAAAAAAAAAATTAAAAACTGTCATTTGAAAACTTTTTTACTTAATACTACATCTAATAACATACACAATTCCTCATAATTACTAAGTGGACAACAGCAATTTAAAGTCTGTTCATTCATAAACTCGTTTATTTCAGTCATTTAATAAGTTCCTAATTTGTAACTAGCACTGTGCTCAGCTTTGTGAGAACACAAAATAGACAATATTCTTGAGTTTATAAAATAGTTGGACAAAGATAAAATTTTAAGCAGAATAATAGAGAATTTGGGATCTCATATAATGAAATGAAAAATTGTGTGCCATCCCACAGAATCTATTAAATTCAATATAGGCACAGAATATATTATATTCAATATAGGCATATAGGAAAAAACAAATACCACAAAAGAGGAGAGTTAACAGGAAAGTTCACAGACATCTACTATGTATCCACACTGGTTTGTTATTCATGGGCATGACTCATTTATACAAAACTACTCTAAATAATGGCAAAGTAAAAATTTTCTGCAAAGAGCAGAATATTTTATTTATTTATTTATTTTTAAAGATTTATTTATTATTTATACAAGCACTGGGTACAGTCAGAAGTGCAGGAGGATGAGAGAATTCACCAGAGCCAGAGCGGGGAGCAGAGTAGGCAGAAGGACCGAAGTACACTGTTGAGGGGAGCAGCGGGCGGCAGGAGAGGTCTGCACGCCATGTGGGACCCTCCTCCAGTGGCCGGGGAGCAGCTGGGGAATCGAACCGGCGCTGCAGAGGCTGCGGGCAGCTTCGCAACCCAGCGCTCAACCGCTGCACCACCGGGGAGGCCCAGACCAGAATATTTTAAATGCACATAGGTAAGTTAATATTACCAATGTATTTTCAGTAAACCTACCTGTCTCTGGTGAATCCTCTCATACCACCCTCCCTCCCCACACCTCTGGCCAACACCCCATTCTGTGCAAAATAAATGAATAAATAAATAAATAAATAAATAAAAATTGTTTTAAAAGATAAATCTCACTTTTGACAAAGGAATGGCATTAACAGGCAACCTTGCATGTTCTGAAAGGGATGGAAATGGAAATCACCTTTCTGCAAAGCAATTTTATATATATATATATATATATATATATATCTCAAAGGTCTTTTATGCTCTCTTTGCATATATCTGAATGTCTATTGGGTACTCAGCCAGCCCATGATAAGCCAGGCCCTTGCCCACACAAAGGTGACCTTCTTGAGGAGAAGAGAGACTTTGAACGATTAACTACTTATACAAGCAGTCATATGATAATAACTGTGCTAAGTGTTACAAAGAAATAGTCTTTGCCCCAAGTCATTTTCTCATTGTAAGTCTTTTCTGACCACCTCTCCTTCTCTCACCCCCCAAATCAGGTTTGACAAATAATTTATCTTATTATATTTCTGAAAATACAAAAGCTGAAAAAATGCTTGTTTGGTCTGAGCTGGGAGAGAGATTGAGTTGATGGGACAAATAGAGCCTTCTACGGCACCACAAAGATTTTGTTCTTTAGCCTAGGATCACAGCAAATCATTTAAGAACTTTAAGCAAAGAAGTAAGATGAGCTTTGCTTTCAAAAAAAAAAAAAAGAAAAAGTCTCTGGTTTCAGTATGAAAATGACCCAGGTGGGGAGGGCAGGTGATTCAGAGGCACTTGGGATGAAATTACTGCTCCTATAAAGGTGAGAGAGGGCAGGCTAACCCCAACTAGAAGTTGGCCAGGGAGAGAGAAGCAGGTAGATGTTAGATATTTAGGATGTTAGTCATCAAGTCACCAGACACCAATTAGAAAGGCAATCAGAATGACTCAGAGGTTTCTGGTATAAGAAACTTCATGGAGTGTGGTTTGCTATCGATAATATTCCTATCGATAATATTCCTACCCTTTGACCCAGTCATTCTCTTTCTAGGCAACTATCCTAGTGAAATCATGAGAACAAGATTTATGTTCAAAGATACTAATTACAATCAAGGAACATAAGTTCAAAACTTCTCAGCAATCTAAATAATAAAAATAGGAGAATTTAAAAAATAAGTTGATAGTGCCATATAATGGAATATTATGCAGTTGTTTAAAACACATTTAATGTTAAAAGAAGCTGCTCAGAATGTCTAAAAAAAGGGCTGTAAAAAAAAAACTATATGATTTCACACTCATATGATACATAAAGAAACACAAACAAGTGAAGTAAAATAAAGATAATCTTATATTGTAAGACCAAATCAGTGATTATTAGAGGAAGGAGGAATGAGCAAATCCAGTAAAAGGTGTCAATTATATGGTGAAGGATGGAATTAGATTTTAGTGGGGAATATTCAGATATTGATTTACAATGATGCACACCTGAAACTTTTACGTTATAAATCAGTTACTTCAATAAGAAGCCTTTAAATAATATTACTTTAAAAGGCAAGCTGCGAAAATTAATACTTTATTTTTAAAATACAAAAATGCCTGCAGAGACATATCAAAGTAAAACTAGCAGTTATCTCTTGGTAGTAAAACCTAAGTGTTTAAGTTTCTTTGAATATTCCTAGTTTTTCAATTTTCAACACAATGAAGAAATCATGCTTATATTTTTAGATTACTTCTATTTTCAAATAACATTTGTTGAGCATTTATTATGTGCTAGGCCACTATTCTAAATGTCTGAGGTATAGAGGTGCATTTAATCTTAAAAACATTTCTAAGCTAGAGAAAAGTTAAGTGACTTGCTCATGGTCACACAGTAAGTCAAAATTTGGACCTATGCAAGCTGACTCCAGAGTCAGTTCTCTTATACTACTACTCTATACTGCCTGTGGAAGGGTTACATTTATATTCAAAGATAGAACTTTAAAAAAACTTAAAACAGCCCAACATATATATATGCATATATGATGTGCAAATATTTTATATTTTACATATATAATATTTTATATATAATCTATTGATAGTATTTAGCATCCAAAAGTATAAAGATCTCTTTTTACAACTCAACAAAAAAACAGAGGGAAACCCCTCCCCAAAAAAGATATTTTTCCAAAGAAAATACACAAATGGTCAATAAGTACATGAACAAATGTTCAGCAATAATCAGTCATTAGTGAAATATATATCAACATCACAATGAGGTTCATGCTTCACACCAATCAGGACAGTTAGAATTTAAAATGAGGTAAGCGTTGGCAAGCATGTGGAGAAATTAGAAACCACATTCACTGGGGTGGGAGTATGAAATGGCTCAGCTGCTTTGGAAAAAAGTTTGACAGGTTCTCAAAGGGTTAAAGAATGATGATATGAATAGGCAATTCCCCTTCTAGATGCACACATACGAGAAGTGAAAATGTATGCCCACGCAAAAATTTGTGTACAAATACTTGTAACAGCCAAAAGATGGAAACAACTCAAATGTTCATCAACTAATGAATAGATAAACAAAATGTCACAAGTCCACACAATGGAACACTATTCAGCAATAAAAGGAAACGAAGTACAGATACATGCTACAATGAATCTCAAAAACATGCTATATGACTTGACTACTACCTCACACTATACACAAAAACCAACTCAAAATGGATTAAAGAACTAGACCTAAGACCTGAAACCATAAAATACATAGAAGGAAATATAGGCGAAACACTACACACGATATGCACATCAAAGACATATTTGCAGACACATCACCCAAAGCAGTTGATAGTGAACGCAAAGATAAACAGCTAGGACTACATCAAATTAAAGAGCTTCTGCACAGCAAAAGAGGCAATAACCAAAACAAAGAGAAACCCCACCGACTGGGAGAACATTTTTGTACACAACACTAATGATAAAGGACTGATCACAAAAATCTACAAAGAGCTGATGAGACTCAACAACAACAAAGAAAATAATCCTGTCAAAAAATGGGCAGAAGAGCTAAAAAGAAACTTCTCTGAAGAGGAAATGCAAATGGCCAACAGGCATATGAAAAAATGTTCAACATCACTTGTAATCAGGGAAATGCAAATCAAAACTACCATAAGATACCATCTTACACCAGTGAGAATGGCACATATTAAAAAAACTAGCAACAACAAATGTTGGCGAGGTTGGGGAGAAAAAGGAACTCTCCTGCACTGCTGGTGGGAGTGCAAACTGGTCCAACCACTATGGAGAGCTGTGTGGAGATTTCTGGACCTACTAAACATCGAGCTTCCATATGATCCAGCAATTCCACTCCTAGGTATTTACCCAAAGGACACAGAAACATCAATTCCAAAGAACACCTGCACCCCTATGTTTATAGCAGCACTATTTACAATAGCTAAGCTTTGGAAACAACCCAAATGCCCAAAAATAGATGACTGGATCAAGAAGATGTGGTCCATATACACCATGGAATATTACTCAGCATTCAAAAAAGATAAACACATGCAATTTGCAGCAACATGGATGGAGCTGGAAGGGATCATGCTCAGCTAAATAAGCCAGAAAGAAAGAAAAAGAAAAATACCGGATGGTCTCACTCATAGCAGGAATCTAGAAAACTTAAATAAGGGACCAGGAAAAAGAATAACTATAAGAAAGTGAAAATCAAAATCAACAAACAACTATGAACCAGAGACACTCTATGAGGGTGGGGGGTGGGGAGGGGAGGGATTTGGGTCAAAATAAGGGGGTCGCAATTGTATGGGGAATATAAAAATAAAATTTATAAAAAAATATACTAAACATTTTGATCTGTGATTAGAATGAGAAGCCAAAGAGCTTCAGGTATATTAATCCTGCTCTACCTGTCATGGGAGTATAAAAGGGGGTTCTAGGCACCCACAACTGAATAATTATATGAGAGATAATAGAAGATCAATGTGAAGAAAGAAGCTTGGAGAAGCTGGAAGGGAAGCTGGGTGATTTTCTAGTTCCTTTTGAGTTATTAATAGATATTCATAGAGTCACTTTGCACACATGTAGTTCAGCTCCTCTCTTTGGGCAATACTAAAGTTCTACTCTCAAATTTAAACAGCAAAGTTGGTCAAAATTAAATCTCTTTGCATTATATATATTATAAATAAATTGCATTTGGGACTTGAAGGGAAAAAGTAAATAAAATAAATAAAGTTAAATAAAATAAAATGGTAGCAAACTGTAGGAGTCAGGAAAAAAACACTGAATTGGGGCCTCCCGGTGGCGCAAAGGGTTGTCTCAGCACTATGAAGCTACTGGCAGCCACTGTAGCACAAGTTCAATCCCCAGTCAGGGAGCTAACCCACATGGTGCAGCAGACCTCTCCTGTCTTGCCTGCTGCTCCCCTCAGCAGTGTATTTCAGTCAATCTGCCTGTTCTGCTCCCAACTCTGTCTCTTGTGAATCCTCTCAATGAACCCCACTCCCCCGCACCTTTGGCCTACCCCCAGCTCTTGTATAATATATAAATAAAAATAAATCTTCAAATAAAAAAAATCAAACACTGAATTTCTTGACTACCAAGCTTACCCATACTTAAAAAGAAGTTAAACACATGGATGACTGCTCTGGACTTCTTTCTTTGGTTTAAATGAACTAATTTTAGAATTAATAGTAATTGCTTTATCTGACCAGAGGCTAACACTAAAATGCCTTCAAGGAAGAAGAAGGAGCTGGCAAAAGCTCACTAGAGGATGAAAAAAACAACTAGTGTGTTTCACTTTTTTTTCTTTCCCTGCGCCACCTCCCTCCCTCCCCAGGTGCTTCACTTTTATGCAATATAATAGAGGTCAGGCAGAGATAAAATTCCAATGATGACCAAGCACTATAAATAGTGCCTGATGTTGCAAATAAAAAAAATACACTTCACATGAGTCAAAAGTGGGAGGTACCATTTAATAGATGAGCCCTGGTCCTTTTCAGTCACATAAGAACATACATAATTACACATTAATAAATATTTATTATACCTCAGTGTTCAATGAATGATGAACAATCACATTTTATATGGAGTTGTAAATGACAGGTTCCTCAGCCTAAAAAAAAGTCTTAACAAAAACTGTCCTTCTAAAACTTCTAATAGGATTTTCCTATCTGAAAGTGATCAAAAAGATTTGAAATAAAAGGGTTCTATAGAAATAGAGACATGACATGGGCCTCCCTGGTGGCGCAGCGGTTGAGTGCTGGGTTGCGAAGCTGCCCGCAGCCTCTGCAGCGCCAGTTCGATCCCCGGCTGCTCCCCGGCCACCAGAGGAGGGTCCCACATGGCGCGCAGACCTCTCCTGCCGCCCGCTGCTCCCCTCAGCAGTGTGCTTCGGTCCTTCTGCCTGCTCTGCTGCCCACTCTAGCTCTGGTGAATTCTCTCACCCTACCGCGCTTCTGACTGTACCCAGTGCTTGTATAAATAAATAAAACAAATAAAATAAATAAAAATAAATCTTTAAAAAAAAAAAAGAAATAGAGACATGACAAACTGCTAAGAGTAAGCTACTGAAGATATATTATGATAATGACTTGCAGTCTTACCTTTGTCTATGCTTTTCATTCCCATCCTGAATCGTATCTGCTTACCATGAAGGACCTCAGAAAGGTGTTTAGCAGTCCAGTGTCGTGCTGGCCAATCAAAAACCATGTTACAGAAGACTGCAGGTTGTTGTAAAGACATTATAATTTCTTTTGCTTTCTCTGGTGTAAAAGGCTTGACACATTCACCTAAAGAAATAAATAATAATGATATATAAGTCATTTCACATGATATGAACAAAAAAAGTGAATATCATTTCCATTATGGCAAATCCTTCTGTGTAATTAACTGCATCTATACTTCAGTTATATTGTTTATATCAGTATTTAGCCTCAAAGAACCGTGATTCTTAAGTAATTTTTCTCATATGGAATCTGAAATGGAAAATATTTACTATTTTCAATGTCAAAAATGGAGTTTTTTTTTTTAAAAAGTTTTCCAAACTGTTTACTCAAATTTTAAAAGATATAATTTTTTGAAAATATTATTTCTAAAGGGTTACGTAAGAGATGCCGATGGGAAGTACTCTAGAACAACTAGAGTAGCTGGAGTCAGCAACAATTCTACTAGCTATATATTCTATTTAATGTCAAAAAAACTACTGAATTAATACAGCAGCCAATGGGGGTGAGGGGAAGTTATTTTTATTGCAAGGTGTTTTTTTTTAAAAGATTTATTTATTTATGCAACAAGAGCTGGGGTACAGGCCAGAGATATGGGGGCACGAGAGGATTACCAGAGACAGAGTGGGGAGCAGAACAGGCAGACTGACTGAAGTACATTGCTGAGGGGAGCAGCAGGCAAGTCAGGAGAGGTCTGCTGCGCCATGTGGGTTGCTCCCTGGTTGGCTGGGGATTGAACTCATGCTGCAGAGGCTGCGGATTGCTTCATAGTCCGGTGCTCAACCCCTTGCGCCACCAGGGAGGCCCTATTGTAAGGTTTTAAAGGATAAAAGATGTGCTAGGATTGTAATCAGTGTTAATTCTTGACTTTCACTGCATCTATAAACAGTATAGGAGATATGTGCAACTAAGCCTGCAATTTACTGAGTACTTCAATAAATTTCACAAGATCACAGAATGTTAATCCCAGATAGGACAGTGAAATTTAGTATTTGTCAAACAAAAGAACAAGTAAATTTCCTTCAAAGACACCTCAAGATGAGGGGTTTTCTAGAAAGTCACAAAGACCTTCATACTCTGTCCCACAGAATATATATTTATGATTCTCTAGAACAATTAGCTCAATTCTCTATTTCATTTACCTACTTTGTAATTACACTTACTTCAAGAAAGTAAGAAAAGCCTATATATAATCCAAATTCTCCCACCATCCAACTTTCTTCTAAATGTTCTGATGAAAGGAAAAGGAATGAGGAAGGACTCATTGAGGAACTTGAACAATTTGTACTTGTCTGAATAGAAGACTTGTTTTTAAAGAAAATGAAAGTTTAAGTCAATTGGAACTCCTTTCTCAGCAAGGACAACTCAGGATTAGGCATAAGCTATGTACATATCCACATATGCTATCTATGTTAACATGTTAACATTAGTATTTATTATCACAATATAAAATCTGATAATATAAATACCCTAATCCGTCAAAGTAGAAAAATATTTATTATTTTTCCCATGGTATATTATGTCTATCAACAATAAAAATGAGGGCTATGGATAAACATGTGAAGGTGCAGGGATTAAACTTACTCAGAGAGCTACTGTAACAGGCAAGCGAGGATTGTTATTAGGTCCTGAACAAGTGGTGGCAATAGGGAAGGCAATGATGGAGAAACACTAAGACAATAATATCAAAGACTATTATGATCAAAAGTAGTTGGGGTTGGAAGGAAGACTGCTATAAAGGAAGACTGAGGCTTCCAGATCATGTGACTTGCCATAAAAGAAGTTCAGAGCAACAGCTTAATCTGTTGGGGAAATGGTAAGTTTTGAACATCATCTCATAATAATACCATATACTTGTATAGAGCTTTACTATTTACCATTTACTTTTACATATGTTAAAGTAAATGAGCTTAGCTCATCCAATCCTATAAGCCTGTAAGACACAGATAGAGGAGGTATTTTATTTCCATTATCCAAAGGAAGAAATGAAAATTCAGATGTAGGAGGTTCATATACCAGCGATGAACTAAATCAGCCTCACTGATTCTAAGACCAGTGCACTGCACAGTCCTGCTCCCAAAGAATTTAAACTGGGAGAAATAGCATAACCTGAAAAGATAAATAGGTTCAGGAAAGTTTCAGATCAATTCATAGACAATAAGCACAACAGCACACATAGGCAGAATGTTTCAGTGTGGACATATGCAGGGGGATAGGAGAGGGCTTAGATTGTTTGTGGCCTACCTTATTCACTGCCCAATGTCTCTTCCTTATGAACAGAACTTTACGTAATGGGAGTGGCTCAAAAATATATTTCCGGTACTCCTTGTAAATAGGACTGGCTAGAGATATACCTGGAAGTTGCTGGATCAGTTGCCCTCATCCTTGTCGCCTTTATACTGCCCGGAAAATAGACATAATGGTGAGCCATCTTGAGAGACAGAAGGAAGGCCCAAGAAATTGCAAGCCTCAGCTGGAAGAATGCAAAGATGTCTTTACTTTTATGCCACTGAACCAACACCAGTGAAGGTCTACCTCCTGAACCCTTTCACATAAGGCAATTCTTATAGTCAAAACTCTTATTAGTTTATGACTAGGATAACACCTTGCCTTCTGATACTGTTGTTTTTAAGAACAACCACCTTCTCCCTGTAAAGTGCTCTGTAGCTTAGGCTGAATGAATCATCGATATTCTGACCCATCATGGCCATCTTTCACTTCTAAGGTTGTAAAATATTCAAGCTTAAACATTTTGCTTCTAGAACTTTACATTTAAGGGGAAACAGAAGCACCAGCCCTTCACAGGGTGGGATTTATTTATTCTGCTTAACTCAAATCAGAGCCAATAGATAACATGGCTTTGAATATTTTCAAAAATAGCTTTCATATTTGGGTGAGATATATATAGCCACATTACCAACACGTAAGTGGTATTTTGACACAATCGCTTCAAAGAAGTAAGTTGTTTCCTCTAACATAATGTTAAATTTTTTAAAATTAATTTAATGATCTGATTTAAAAAGCCCAAATATTTAATAGGAGCTCCTGAAAACTAAAATTTGCCGAGAAAGCACCAGGCCCAAAGATTTGTAATGTTAAACGTGCGAACATTTGCTAAATGAGTGGAAAGTTCTATAGGACTTTCTAAGTGTGCAGAGCAGAGCAGTATTCTGTTCACCATCACAGGAAATTAGCACATTTACAGAATTTCAGGTCTATTGGTGAAATAAAACAATCAGCTGGTTGTGAGATAAAACTAATTTGGTTTTTGATAGTTTAATCAACAATTAACTGGGCCATTAAATTAACAAATTTAAGTGTTACAATTTCCTTTAAAGAAGAATGCAATCTACATGGCATTAATTAAATAGCCTACGGATGCACCCAGTCATTCCATGCCAGGAATATCTGCAAAGTGCTATAAAAATGCTAAAGCCACCTTGATAGTCTACAAAGGATATGTGTGTGTAGGTCTAAACTTGCATCAAGAGGCAACTTCTAAGAAGATGACATAAAAACTGCTAGAAAAAGATTAGCAATCTAAGTATTGCACAATAGTCTATTCTCTAAATGTAGCAAAGTTATTCAGTCAATTTATTGCTGTTTTAGTTACAACTAATTCTTTGGAGGTAGTAAAATACCATCAAAAAGCAAACTGTCTTTTTCCTTGGAATTTTTCCTTTAGTTAATGCAAAGTACAAGATATTTTAAACCTAATTTCTCTGAATTTGCTAGGAACCTAGTTTCAACACAAATCCTGACTGATTGTATTTGAGATGTAGAATTAGACAAGAAAAATTCACTGAGTTTTCAAAATAGTCTCAATATTGATAGAATACACCTGAAATTGCAATAAACTCAGCTCTCATGTCAGATATAATTTTAATGGAAAATTATAGTTATTAAAAATGTTCAGAAGGTGTCATAAGTCACAGGTTATAACACATGCATTAACCATAGTGATACAATATGAAAAACTGGATTCCAGCATGGTGAACTAATTCACTTCTAAATATATATACATATAAGCCTACATTTTCATTAGTCTGACAGCTGTTTATACATACAAGAAGTTTTAAAACTTCTGACATGGTAGATATTAGGAATGGTAGTTATTAGGGTAAAAAATAATGGACATCTGGGCCATATCAGATAAACATTGATGGAATTTTGTAAGTATTATTTAACAAAACGACTGTATTGGTACGAAATATAGAATGGTAAACCAGACACCAGAGATAATTCTTCATTTTATTGTCACTATTTTAAAAGATCAACACAAACTAAGAAAATTCTCCTGAAAGGGAATGTAACACTTAGGTCATAAACCCTTTAAAATTCAAAAACTAGAAGATAGTGACACCAAAGAAACCACAAGTGGAAGTAATGAGGCTGTTAAGACATAACCTTGTTAATATCAAGGCTTAGTGTTGTAGCAAACACTCAAGCAGGAGACATATACATGCTAGACAGTTACCAAGGTTTTATAACCCCTTAGCTGCTTCTCATCCTCTTGCTCTTGTGATTCCTGGCTAGGAACTCTGAAAATGTCTTCTCACATTAATACATTGATGAGTCAGAAGATGGCTCACAAATCATACTTAATTAAGTTCAAAAGTAATACCTGTCTTAACCCTAAAGCAAGGAAAGCAAATCTATGCTTTAAGTGCAGTAAATACTAGAAAGAACGGTCACAAAAACTCAAGCTCTTTAAAATGCTCCAAAGCACCTTCAAAATTTCTACCAAAATGTTTTCATCTAACTCTTTAACCTCCTCTAAGTTAAGTTTTTCATATTTCAAAATAAACCAGTTATTTCCTCTCACTTTTCATTAAAAATATTTGACAGGAGAGTCTTGAAGAGCGTGATAGCAGCATTATTTATTACAATCAAGAGGATAAAGCAACCCAGATGTCCGCTGACAGATCAATGATAAAAATGTAGTCTTTATATACAGTGGAATATTATTCAGTCTTTAAAAGGAAGAAATTTTGCCACATGCTACAAGGATAAACCTAAGGTCATTAAATAAAATCAGTCAGTCATGAAAAGGCAAACAACACTCT